ACATCAGGCACCAAGACAGAGCAGAACCTAAACCAAAGCTCAGGACAGGTCCATGACCTGGCTGTTGCAGTATGCAGCTTCTCTACCATGTTACCGAACATGACACCCATGAGGAGCTGGTTGCCCCCTGGCCAGGGCTGCCACGAATGGCAAGAGCTTCCTTAGCGCATGTTGGCAAGACCACACGTGCATCACCCAGAGCCCTGCATCTTACCATAGAGAGCTTGAGCGACAGAGAGCAGCAGTGAACTTCTCACTAAAAATAAACAGACCTCAGCATAAAGGCTCAGTAAGATCTGAGAAGGAAGCAGGCTACAAAACAGCAGAGACACCAGCACAGTGCTGGGCTGTGTGCAAGGGAAGGGGGGGGCTCATGGCGTTACAGCCACCAGGCTTTCCTATTTACAGCAACAATTTTGGCTTGTTGAAATGCAGCACATTATAAACCACCCCTAAATGCCTGGCTTCTTGGGGCATTTGGCTGCTTACACATTCAGACTGCTCTGGAGCAGACCCATGTTGGCAGCTCAGCACCAGCAAGCAGCCCCTGGTCAAAGTCATTTACATTAACAACATCCTTCTACACTTTAAAAAATAAATGGTCCTAAAAATCCATGGTGCTTAGTACTGTGCTAATAACTGCATCACGCAACAGCAATTCCCACCTTTATTGAGGTCTCAGGTTTCAAGGGGACAGCAAGCTGTCCCAGAGTGAGCTGCATGTTCACCAACCTGACACATCACTTAGGCCTTTCACCCTAATTATCCCCACCTTCCACCCCCCAAGCGTGCATTTGGAGGAGGTGTCTGCCTGGGCAGTCAGGACAGCAAGCATGGCTATCCACAGTCTCTGCTTAAGGGCAGAAACACCATGCTCCACCAAGTGTCCAACCTGGTGCTCAGTGTTCTGGGCTGGGTTGGAGCTCCTCTTCAGCAGGCTCCTGCACAATGCTGCCCATACAGCACATGTGAGCAGCAGACAAAGTCGGCAGCCGCGGGAGCAGTGTGGTAACTCGGGTGTACTCAAACCTCTGGCTTCAGACCTAGATTGAGACCCTGCCCTCGATGGACACCAGTCACTCACACAAGGCAACATCTCTGCACTCCCTGCCCACTCTCCAGTCTCAGCTATTAATGACAGTAACGGCAGAGACACCAGTGAGGTGACGCATGTTGAATTTTGCCACTCTTTTTTGTGGTCCCCAGTGCTGAATTAGGTTGCACACAAAGCTCTCTGTGCCTGTATACGTTTACACTATCATGTATGGATGAATTTCCAATGGAACAGTTCTGTGGTGCATATTCTATGTGACATCAGACAGCAGCCACGGAATAATTTCTTTCCTCTACAGGGTTCCTTTTTATTTTAAGGCTGAAGTGACATTTCTGCATTACTCTTTACTGAAAAAGAATGTATGGGTTGACTTTTTATTTCTGAATAGTGGTATTTATGAATAAAAATTACTAGAGCTATAGGGCAGGAAATAGATACAAGTATGACCTTTGGGTTTACTTGTAAAAAAGATCTTCAGAAATACTTGTAGTAATTTTGCACATCTCATCATCGATTAATTTTGTGCTTAATAGAAAGAGGCAATTCACTGCATCGCTTCTAGATCTTAAGTTTCTCATATATTTTATTTTTCAAAAATCAACACATTGTTTCATTCCTAACTCTGACAATATTGAAATCTATGCAAGATAATCTAAAAATGAAACTCACAGATCTGTACAGTCCTGCTCTGCAAGTTGCCGGATGAAAAGTTTCAGACTAATCCAGAGAGCTGAGGGTTACTGGGCAAACCTTTTTTTAACAGCACAGCCAAGTAAAACTGAGTTTAGTTCACATCCAACTATTTTTAGTTTAGCTTATACATGTAAACTCTCTCTGATTGGATAGAATACATCACTGAATTAAAATTGACCAACAGAGCCACCACAAACAAAAAGATGTTATTTATCTCCTCATCAGTTGCTCTGGTATTTACTTTATCATATGGCATGTTACTGATTTAATGGCTATTTAAAAAAACAAACCAACCAACCAAAACAAACACAAGCCCACAGATTTGTGAAGTCTTTAGTACAGTTTAAAGATGTAGCTCCACATCACACTTCAGGATCTCATGGAAGAGTGGGAGATCCTCAAAAAGCAAGTCCTGCTGTGATGAAAACCAGCTCTGGTGCTACAAAATACCACATTCACAAAGACCCTTAAATTGCCAGCAAGCAGGGAAACCGCACTGTTTGCAAACTGCATTATTTCCATACACAGGGCATAATCCCAGTGTCTGGTGCAATGTTTGGTCTTTACGCTATGCTGTTTTAAGCAACGGTTATAAATAAAATAGATACCATCACCCCCACACAATAGATCTGCATTTTTTCATCCATCTCTGTTCTTATTATTTATAATATAGCAGGTGCCTGCTGACATTTGGCCTTTTGAGGATTTTGCAAAGAGACAGAACTATTTATCAATTTAATCAGAGTGGAGGGTTTTTTTTGTTTGCTTGCCTGTTTTTAAATGAGGGCTTTATTGAAAGTTTGAGTTACCAAAGTACAGCTTGCAACAGAGAAATTTCATAACTGCTAACCATGAGCAAGATCATAAAGGGGAAAGATCCCAAATATATTATTTCCCTAGTACGAGGAGGGGATTTTTATCATTTTATATGTTCCTTGGCACGTTGATCCATTGATCACTCATCCCTTTTTCTCTGCTAAGAAGGCAAGGACAAAAGAAGGCAGGCTGCTCTTCCAGCAGCATTCACAAGCTATCACCTACACCCCACATCCAGCAACCGCTAAGCAGATTTGGCCAGGGCCTCGTTTTTCCCATGGCAGATCAGAAGCCAAGTTTTTACTTCACACATGGGAACACTCTCTCTCATGTGGGAACAAAGGAATCCAGACTGGTCACTTACCTGGAACTCTAGCTCCTTGTCTGAAATCATTGAGCATTCAAGTCTGTCTGATGCTCAGTTCACTTTTGAACAGGAAATAAAGCTACAGAAAAGAGCAATTATAATGATTTCACAGAGCAACTTTCTGTCACTAGGTATTGCTGTCATTCAGCAAGTCCCAACTCCCCCATGTTTGAATTCCAAGTACAATGGCAAGTATGAGCCCCAAACTGGGAATTTATCATGTTGTATACATTAGCGGACTGTAGGTTATGTAAACAATTTTACCTGTTAGCACAACGCTAGCATGTTTCCTTTTAAAATGTCTAAGAGCACTACAGAAAGTGCATTATGTAATTAAAAAAAAAAAAAAAAAATCTAAAACTTTACATACTGAAAACCAAAGGCAAACCTGAAAACTTCAGTGGAGCCAGTGATGCTCTGACAAATAGAATTCTAGGACAAATATGCAGCCAACAATTCTGCTTTGCTCAGGGTCACTCAAGGTGTCTGCAGCAAAGCAGGAAATAGTAAGATTATTTTACTGTGAATTCAAGACTTTCAGCCAAAAAAACATTATTCCTATTCCCTATCATAGAGACAAAAGGGGAGCAAGATGAAGAGTTGTACTAATTTCTACAGTAAATGATGTTTTCATTATTGAATTACAAAAATAAAGTCTCACAAAGAAATCCTTAGTGTACAGTATTTATTACTTTCTATTAATCTGAAGTCAATAATTTTGATATGACTAAATTAATTCTGAAATAGACATTTTTAAATGCATATGAAGATGAGAGGCTTTAACATGAGAGTAGTTGATGTGCACTCTTAATCCACATGCAAGATTCATCAATCAAATACTGTACATTTTCTTTCATTTTACACTGGTCCATAATAAAGCACAATTTCTCAGGGAGAAACCAGGGAGGAGAGAAATCAGATTTTCAAGTAGCTCTTTTATTAAAAAAGAGCATCAACTATATATTAAGCCAGTGTGTTCCTCTCTGACTCTGATTTTACTTACAGTACACAGTTTTGCAAAATATACAGCTCACCAATGATACACAAACAGTGGCCCTTTACTAAGGGCAAGTTAAAAAAAAACAAAAGAAATACAACAGAAAAGAATTCTACAGCTGAGAAAAGTCATATTTTAGAACATTATGCCACTTTACAGTGCCTTCAGTGCTGGTAAGAAAGGTCATGCACAATGGTTTTTAAAAGAACGCTGTCATTAGTCCATGAGAGATTTTCCTGCATGCTTCACGTCAACAGACAAAGGTATAGGTCACAAGGAAAGTATCTTTCTCCAGTTATCTTTTAGGCCTGTCTATGTCATCAATAGCAGCTAGCAGCTTCTGTCTTGCCTTTTTGTTGATGTGGGAGCCCAGACAAACATTCACCAGATTTGTCAACTGCTTAGTGGAATATTCCTGGCAAATAAAAGCAGATCATGTTATGGCAGAATAAAAGACCAGAAAAAGAAACTTTAAAAAAGCAGACATACACTGTGGACTTTTCAACTGATAAAAGCAGTCAGTACACAAGGGAGATTTAAAGTGGTAGTTAAGTCAGGTCTGGATAGTTTTCATGGTTGAGGCAGAGGACAAAACTGTGTTTTGCTACATGGCAGATTATAACGGAAAATGAGTACGACTTCAGGAGTGCTGGACTGAGCTCACAAAAAGCAATTCTGTGAATATGTGTGTATATAAATCAATTGTTAATGTATTTTCCATTCTTTGGGAGGCGAGGTGGGAAATATCTATGTAAATTGGATAAGCTTTTAACACAAATTTTTTTCAAAACAAACTGTGACAAAAGGTGAAGAAATATTTTATTTCACTTCTTATTTAAATAAGCGTCTAAATACTTCTGTCTACAGGGACTCCAAACAATGTTAAATTCAGCACATGGTAAGGGAGGAAAGAATGGCAAAAATGCTAAGACAAGAATTAACATCTGTCAAAACACTGCAATTGCCAATACTACCTTTATACCTAACACTTTCCAAAATGTGGCTTCCACCAGCAGGTTTAAACAAGAGCTTTTCTGTGTAGGTCACCAAACAACAGGTAACAGTCTCTCTTGTGGCTCCAGGCAAATCACAGAAAACAATATTGAGATGAATTTCTTTCACCTGCCTATACTGGGATGTAAAGTAATCTCAAAATACAGATCTTAAAGTGCTCCATTTTAAAAGATGCTGCACTTCAGTACTGGGCAGCTCCAATAGCATGTGACTACTACTTAGACAGTCCTGTTATAATTGTTAGGTCACGCTACTATGAATGCGTGCCAAATGCTTTCAAAACACAGATGAAGACTTAACCCCAACAGCAATTTTGATCCTGATTCAGTGTTACTAAGCGAAGAAAAAGCAATGACTCTTATCCACTGTGCCTTACAACCTAGTTTAAGCAATCTACTCCTAAAAGCAAAGTAAAACTTCATGGTGTGATTTCAAACCCTACTTCCTGATGACCCAGTTGGGCACTTTGGCATGTTCCGAGGAGCACACAAATGTTTTCAGCTTCACTTCGCTCTAGCTCTCTACATTTTTTGAGGCAGTAGGTAGATGTGACTGGCTTATTCATATTTCCCTGTCATCGTATGTTGAAGCAGTACAACACATAATAGCTTCATATAATACTAAATATAATGCATATATTCATTTTTAATGGATAGAAGCATTGATCATTTGTAGTTCTTAGCATGATTCTATCTCCATGGTGAATTTTCCCTACAGAGAGGAAAAGAATACAAACTTAACTCTTACCCTATGTTCTTTTATCCAGTGTTCCATGTCATTTTCTGTTAGGTAGTATGCTTTAATGTAGGTCTCCACAAATTCTTTATCGGGAATAGGTCTAATGTCTGTTAACTTTTCCAGTTTCATTAAGAATTGTTGAAAGTCCAGTTGCATCAAGGCACGTCCTTCATTGCTGCACTTCTTTACATTGGCATAACTGAAAAGAGAAACACAGTGGAAAGTAGAAATTAGAAGGCAAAAAAAACCCCAACTAATTGTACTTCTCATAGTTTAACTTAGTCTTTTGAACCTTAAGGAGGAACATAATTATGGTTTTAAGTTAAAAGCAGACAAGAATTACTCTTAGGACTCTGGTGCAGAGTTTTATTTGCACTAGTATAGCATGTTTTAGCCCCACTTATAGAGAAGAACCCCATTGTACCCCCAGTGATACTTAAAAAACTCCCACTACCCCACCTGTCAAAGGCCACTAAAAACCCAACATTGAACAACTTACTGGAAGTGGGTTAAAGGAAATGAAATCAATGCTGATGAGCACATTAGACAAGGGTTTTGGTGGAGTGATCATGACCACTTAAGCCTGAACGGTAACACATCAGCTTTAGGAATGGTCAGCAGGAGCTTGCTTGAAACAACAGTGGCAGCATCAGAGAAAGGCACAATTTCTTCAAAAACACCCACAACCAGAGGACAAAGGGTGGCAGCACTGGTTAATCCATGCAAGAGGTTAATGTTTAATGAGAGTAGATTGACAGAAAACTGGTAACACCTTTGAGCTCAAAGAAGAAGAGACAGTAAATGGGCTTAGGGCAGGGTAATACCAGGAAGGATTACAGCAGGGCAACAGACAACAAATGAGGAAAGCAACCTTTGCAGTTTTTCAAGAATTTGGATTTGTCAAGACCAAAGGAAATGATACTGAAATGCCCTTCACAGGGCAAATTTCAGCTGTGTACAGGGAATAAAAAAGCTTTTGTCCGGGGCACAGTGTCTTGATAGACTTAATCCAGCCCACTCATAGGCTGCTGCCACAAGTGACAATCCTCTCCCACCGTTTCCACTCTCTCCTTCTACCGAATTTAAAGCAAGTCCAGTCTTCCAGTGGTTCATGAAGTTGACCCTAATTACTACACAGTCCCTAGATTATTAGATGTGATGCAAAGGAGGCAGCAGAAACACAGAGCTGGAAACACAGATCAGGATAAGAATAAGAAAAAATTGCAACCTTACAGTTAGTACACAAAGAATTTCCAGAACGCAGAAATAACAAAGGCAAAGTGAGGACCAAGGGACAAGGCCTCCGTAGAAGACTAGATGAAAAATTCCCAGTATGACATGCTGAAGCATTTCAAGAAGCCAGATGGGAAACAGGACAGAGCATAGAACCAGGAGATAGAGCACGGCAAAATTTTAAGAAGGATATGGCCAAATGCACTGAAGATGATCCTTCACTCAAAGAGAATGAAGAGATCAGTTCCAGCTGACTGACTGAAGAAAGACCTTCTTCATGGCTTTCAATTCCGTACCTTCAAGGAATTCAGAGATGAGAGAAGTTATGAAGGTATTCAGAGAGTCAGCTATTCAGAATACCTTCCTTCCCTTTCCCCAGTAGCAAAAGAAACTACAAGATATCTGAGAAAAAAAGAACTGGGTAAGACTGAGAAATTACAGGCAGATATTTGGGAGGAAATTATAATGAGCACTCTTTATACCATAAGAAAGGGCACAGGACAAATCATAACAGCAAGGTATTCCCAGTCCACTCTGACCAGTCAATGAAATGCTTAGGTGAAAGTAAAGGTGAAAGTTTCATGGTGAGTCACAAGTGAGCAAGAGAGATGAGTGATGACCTTCAGAGTTAAGGATTAAGTAGTTCAAGAACACTGAAGTCATCAAAGATGAGGTAGATTATAAAGATTATCCAGTAAGAAAAAGAAACAAGTCCAAAATATGCACAAGGGCTGAGGTAGAGCAGGCTGATCTGACTGGCAGTATGATCCATCTGAAAAGAAAGGAGGATGGGGAGAGGAGAAAAGATGCTTTTGTTGCAATTCTTCTGATTTGAGGCATGTGAAGTGGAAAACAAAATTTCACAGAGATAAGATTGTTGTATAGGTCATATGTCATACAAAGGAACTGAGAAGCTAGAAGGAGGTCATGACTGGATTTAGTCTCCCTGAAGATGCAATTCATCTTAAAAGAGACTGCAAAATGATGATGGCACAAAAAGAAACAGGCATGAGTTTCAAAATGGTGGCTTGATGGGAGCAGTGGGAGCTGAGGATTCTCAACAGACAAATAACACTTAGAGAAGGATGTTGCTGAGGTCCTAAATTAGAGCAGACAGCAGGAGAGGGGGTGGAAAGAAATAAAACAGGTAGTAGGGAACATATATGGTAAAATATAACCAGGACAGAAACATGGAAACATATGTCAAAGGAGTGGAAGACAGCACATATTCTGTGATGCAGAAGTTGTGATGAGAGCCCAGATCTATGCAGCAAGGGGAAAAGAACACAAAAATAAATGCAGCGGATAAAAAGACTGCAGTACTTAGGCTACAATACTGACTCTGAAAAGATTGTGACACCAACTGAGGGCTGATCAAGGGGTAGCATTTCCTGACTAAGGTACTTGAGCCTCTATTGACCAAGCCAACTCAGACACCTCTCTGTTTCTGATTAATCTGGAAAAATCTTGCTCCATTGCTACTCTAAGGTAACTGCTAGGGTTGACGGCTCCATTTTTCTCCCTGGCAAAGATGAACAGTATCCCCCATAGACATGCTGACCATTACACTTTAACTTTCTTCTTTGCTCTGTCAGAAAATTATATTTGCAGATAGAAGTTTCCTTGAAAGAGAACTATGTTGTTTCAAATGCTTCCATGTCATTCTTCAGCAGCATCTAGGGACAAGACCATCCTCTTCAGGATTAATGCTAAACCAGACCCTGCGAAACAACTGCTAAGGAATATGTTAAGCCTTGATATATTTTAGGCTCCCCAGAAGCACAAGAGCTTATCAGTGCATTACAAAATTAGAACTTTTAAGTCCTTAAAATTGACATTATCATTACAGACGTAATTACCCAAAAGCAAGATACCCATGAACTACTTACCCTTCCACGAGAGTTCTGTTGGCCAAGCGTATGCAGTGCTCCCAAAGGATGTTGGAGACTGGCAAGGGAATACGGACTCTCTTAGACACCTCATTCAACCTTCTGTTAAATTCCTCAAATTCCTGATGAAACACAAAAGATCGTTACTCTTTTAGGATGAAAGGAATCACAGTCTATACACCCCTAGTAACAACAGCAACAAAGAATTAGAAATGCACAGGAAAGAGAATACTGAAAAATAAAAGCGTAAGAAAGAACACTGAAAAATAGAAGCAAAGCAGAGCAGCTTACCAGGCACAGGCTCTAGAGACAAGCTTAATGCATGAAGGAGAAATTGTAACACTTTCTATCATTCACAACACTACTTCAGTTATGCTTTTTAAAAAAGTACTGTTCTGTTGCCTAGAGATGTAGTTTTCTGTGACAGTGACACCTCTGAAAATTAACCAAGTAGCTAATCCTTCAAATACCATTTTCGTATCTTTAACTTTTTAAAAGTCTATATACAACCACTGAAGAAAATCCAGTCATAACCTCTTTATTCCTTTAAATATACACCCAACCTGCTTTCAAAGAGAAGCTCACCAATACTGTAACCACTTTTCATTTTTCAATCTTTTGCATTAGATAGTTCACTGGTGCTTGAAAAGGAGATGGGGGCATTCATCAAAAAGAACCCAAATCTAAACAGCCTAGGAGCATATTGCAACATTAGATAACAATCCAGGTTGAGGGAAGGCACCTGCTTCCACCTGAAGCATCAATGGCCTGGATGGATTTGAGTTGTTACTGTGAGTGAGAAACTAATCTTAACTGAACATCATTATTGTTACAATGACTTTGTGACATAACATGAAGTGAAATAGAAGTCTGTTGCTACTGACTAATGCCTCTGTCATTTTAAAAAAGTATCAAATGACTTAAATGTGCAGACTGATAATTAACTGCTTGGCGTAACCAGCAAAAGCAGTTTGTACTGCAGCCTATTGAGACCATACTTGTCCAACAAAGTGCTTCTATTCCAAGGCTGTTAATTTAGGTGGATTTTTTTTTTTTTAACCATCCATCAAAAAATCAGTAAGAGAAGAAAATCAGAAGGGAATCTCAGTAATCAATTTAACCTAGTATCTGACCAAGTAATTGGCATTTAACATAAATTTTCTGAAAGAGAATTTTGGCAAGAGGAATCAGAGTACCACAATGTCATGCTTTAACTAGCATACAACCTACACTTCTGAAGATGAAGATGCCCAACACACTGTGTTAAAAAATTTCCTGAACAATCCTCTTTCCTCATTCTATCTGCTTCCATACATACCATGGCTTACTGTACAATTTTGCATATGTGTGCACATGACTAGAAGTAGTTGATTATTACATTAAACATTGTGTACACATCTGACACTCTTGGAGTCCCAAGGTACACAGCAAACCACTAATTGCTTAGCAGTAATCTAAAAGCTTCTGTAGCAACTATTATTAGCTATATAACATAGAGGGAAGAAAGGTTTTAAATAGTATCAGCCCTGATTGGCCTCATGCAAGTTTATCAGCAGTTACGCACTCACAAAAGGAAAAAGTTCTACTGCAGAGACCAAATGTTGAAAGTACAAACTGATCTCAAAAAGCCATGGCAGCATAAAGAAGGGTAATCACAAAGATCCAATCAAATTCAGCACAATAATAAAACCTTTATCAGATTTTACTTTCTTTGTGTTGTTTTTTTTTTTAAACAGAAAACAGCTACAACATACAAAAGTGTAATCAAAACTGTTATTCAACACAGATGCATAACTTTCTCTAATACATACTCCACGTATCTTTAGAATAAAATTTTTAGTTTCTCTGTAAGAATTAGTATAATTCTACTACTGCCAGAACTTCCTTCTAGAGACCTTGATAAACATTATTTAGGCATATATGAGAGGATGAGAGAGGAATTCTTCCACAGTCTGGTTCTGTATGCTATCAGAAACAGCAGTCGTATAACCACTTTTACTGAATGCAATTGAGAAGTTGGGTGGACAGCTTCCCTTTCACCTTCTTTTTCAAATGCTAATTTCCAAATAGAGCAATTTCAATTAGATAATGCACAACCATCATTGGTGCTGGTTTGACCTACAGCCTCAACAATACATCTAAAGGCAACTGCTAAAATTATGCAGAACAGCAAATAGACTATGTTAAAAAAACGAACAAAAAAAAAAAAAAAAAAAAAAAAAAAAAAAAAAAAAAACCAAACAAAAAAACAAACCAATCCACTATCTCAGGCCACTGGATTTTCCTCTTTCCAGTTACTCTGTTTACTGTACATTTATCTATTATTCAAGACTTAGACATGACACTCATTAAACTTTTGTTGTCACTTTCACCCACCACCTAGTCAAAAAATCATCACTGAAAATAATCTACTAGCAGCAACAATAATGACAATTCTGGACAGACCTCCTTATAATAACTTGCTATTTGCCAGGATGCTGTATTGCTCTAACCGTGCTACTTGAACAGTTTTAGCGAAGTATTAAAATAATTTGATGTTTATATAAACTCTAGCACACAATTTCCCAGAAAGTATTCACCTTTAAAAGAGCATCTACATATATATTGTGCTGTGACATGATTTCCCTCACATCCCATTTCACATTAGCCATGAGAAGCAGCATCTGTTCATAATCGATGGCTTTAGCAGCAACAATCCAATAAACTGGTTTACGTAGTTCGCTGGCAGTTGACACGGTCTGAAATGGAATATAAATAAAACTCAGTTCAGTAAATTTCTGTCTAATAAGAGCAATATATAACTATGCTGTACAGGTATTTGCACTATCCCATACAAGTTTCAAATATTCTGTTTAAAAAAAATCAGCTGGGAATTACTCAATTCTGACCTGAGAATAGAACTGCTGAAGAAAAGGCTTCTTGGCAGCTGGCATCACTGTATCAAGATGAGGCTGAAGAAACTCAAACTGCTCAGCCAGAAATACCCTTTGAAAACAAAGAGAATTTACGGTGAACCAAATGCAACATTTGGCATGTCTCTATACTTTTACAGTTGATATATTTGGCAACAACAACATGTAACTTTGGAAAATTTAGTCCTGAGAACTGTTATCAGTTTCATGCCAGCATATCAACAAGTATTCTCAATTCTGACAAATTTAAAATATGACTGCAAACAACAAAATGCTTGAATAGAGACTAAAGCTTGAATATCAACAATTCATATTTCACTCAGGAAACATTGCAAAAGTCCGGTATAAAGTCTAGTAAAGTCAGTAGACAAGGGTTCTGTAAGTTCCATAGTACAGGGCAATTAACATTAATATATCCATGTCACACTTCAAAAATAATATTTCTAATTACTTATATACTAGTGAATCTTTAAAAGACAGACTATGAATGAGATCAAAGGTTTTCTCATGGGTAAGATTTGTTACTAACAACATAACAAAGAAATAAATTTCTAACTAAGCTTAAATGAATGCAAAAGAAAATGAGCTCCTTTGAAAATACATTTTTGAAATCACAGAATCACAGAATGTTA